CATCTAATTTCGACGCTTACTGTAAGTTACATACAATACAGAGCTTTGTTTCCGACTTAAAATATGTTGGTTGAGCACTGCAAGCACAATAAAACCATGACTCCATCCATACGGACAACTTTGTATAGCCATGTATGGATAAATGTCCAGGGATTTATTTTTCATTTCAACATAGCCTATATTTGTCTTGTTAGCCTACATCCGACATATTTAAAAGATGAGCAGAAGGATTAAGCATTCGTGGTCAGATAATGTTCACTGCTAAAACGGGTGTGTTTCAGAGATGGAAAAAGCCTACCTTCTTCTCCGTACTGGTCGTATATTTCCCGTTTCTTTGGATCACTGAGAACTTCATAAGCCTCCGCGACCTCCTTGAATTTCTCCTCCGCATTGGCCGCCTTGTTTTTGTCAGGATGCCATTTCAGAGCCTGTTTTCTGTACGCTTTTTTGATGTCGTCGTCTGATGCTCCTTTCGCGATTCCCAATATTTTGTAGAAATCTTTGCCCATTTTCTCCTATGCAGAGCGGGTTGGCACCGCTGCCCGAGGAGTCAGTCAGTTCACTGAAAAAGAAGACCGTGAATAAAAGCACCGTCGTGGCTGTCAAACCCTGCCTCTTTAAACCGTGACACAGATGATCAGTTGATCCTGTTGTGTCTGTTTGGAGGCGGTTACTCAGCACTAAAGATCTTGTGTTATTTTAGCCTCTTTAAATAGCCACTGCTCCCTCCCTGTGCCAGTGCAGCTCTGGACTCAGAGGGCGCTTCTAGAACGTGTGAGCTGAAGCACGTCATTTCCCATTTTCAGATAAATCCATTTTCAGATCTAAAATCCTCTCGAACCAGAAACGCATGAAACGATGTGAAATAGCCTAGCCATTGTCTCTGAGAATGTTGTCTATCTATCTATCTATCTATCTATCTATCTATCTATCTATCTATCTATCTATCTATCTATCTATCTATCTATCTATCTATCTATCTATCTATCTATCTATCTATCTATCTATCATCCAGGTCTGTTCAATCTATCCATCCATCCATCCATCCATCCATCCATCCATCCAGGTATGTTCAATCCACATGAAGACAAGATCTGACAAGAAAGAGGTTCCACTTTAATACCCATTTAGGCTACAGTTTTTTAAAAAATAGGCCTATATGTATACCAATTCTAAATACTTTGTATAGCTATATGTGAGCTAAACTATGGATTTATCATTGCTTTGGTACAAAATGCATTCAGTGACGACATCTTTCATTTTACATGAATTCTTTTCGCACTTAGACACAAACATCATCAAAACTTTTATGTAGACAGGCCGATTTGCACGTATAGGCCTACATACTTTTTTCAAAACGGTTTAACTTAAGTTTTAAAACCTAAAACAACACAGAAATTTGCTACATTTCTACAGTAATACCATATTGAAATACCTATTCTAAATCTAAAAAATCAAATATCAAAACAATTAGATGTATCTGATCTTTCAACGTGTTTTTTTTCTTTCTCTCTTTTTTCCTCTCTCTTTCTCTTGCCTTCCTTCTTCCGTATTACAGCTTTGATTATTGCTATTGATGTGTGTATATACAGTATATGTATATATTATAATATTATAATAGAGATACACTCACCTAAAGGATTATTAGGAACACCATACTAATACTGTGTTTGACCCCCTTTCGCCTTCAGAACTGCCTTAATTCTACGTGGCATTGATTCAACAAGGTGCTGAAAGCATTCTTTAGAAATGTTGGCCCATATTGATAGGATAGCATCTTGCAGTTGATGGAGATTTGTGGGATGCACATCCAGGGCATGAAGCTCCCGTTCCACCACATCCCAAAGATGGTCTATTGGGTTGAGATCTGGTGACTGTGGGGGCCATTTTAGTACTGTGAACTCATTGTCATGTTCAAGAAACCAATTTGAAATGATTCGAGCTTTGTGACATGGTGCATTATCCTGCTGGAAGTAGCCATCAGAGGATGGGTACATGGTGGCCATAAAGGGATGGACATGGTCAGAAACAATGCTCAGGTAGGCCGTGGCATTTAAACGATGCCCAATTGGCACTAAGGGGCCTAAAGTGTGCCAAGAAAACATCCCCCACACCATTACACCACCACCACCAGCCTGCACAGTGGTAACAAGGCATGATGGATCCATGTTCTCATTCTGTCCAAATTCTGACTCTACCATCTGAATGTCTCAACAGAAATCGAGACTCATCAGACCAGGCAACATTTTTTCAGTCTTCAACTGTCCAATTTTGGTGAGCTCTTGCAAATTGTAGCCTCTTTTTCCTATTTGTAGTGGAGATGAGTGGTACCCGGTGGGGTCTTCTGCTGTTGTAGCCCATCCGCCTCAAGGTTGTGCGTGTTGTGGCTTCACAAATGCTTTGCTGCATACCTCGGTTGTAACGAGTGGTTATTTCAGCCAAAGTTGCTCTTCTATCAGCTTGAATCAGTCGGCCCATTCTCCTCTGACCTCTAGCATCAACAAGGCATTTTCGCCCACAGGACTGCCGCATACTGGATGTTTTTCCCTTTTCACACCATTCTTTGTAAACCCTAGAAATGGTTGTGCGTTAAAATCCCAGTAACTGAGCAGATTGTGAAATACTCAGACACAGTAGAGATATATACTCAACACAATTTTACACACACACACACACACACACACACACACACACACACACACACACACACACACACACACACACACACACACACACACACACACACACACACACACACACACACACACACACACACACACACACACACACACACACACACACACACACACACACACACACACACACACACTGCACATAGATGTATCTGAACACCTGCAGGTGTTAGTCTTTGAGTTTCATTACCATGCATTTAAAAGGGGAAACTTAGTAATAATTTTGTACTGTAGTGTAAGCATGGACTAACATACACTATAGTAAATTAGGCAGTAGAAAATGTCATTCTTGTTTTGTAAAGAAAACATAAAAAAAAAACATTGCATAATGCTCCTGTTGTTAGTGTTTTTAGCTCGTTGTTTTAAGAGTGACAAAGTGTGTTTGTTTGTTTGTTGACAATATTAACTATAATTTATTATCATTCATTCAACTTTACCAATTTATTAGGTTGCTCTTCAATGTTTTCACCCAACAAACATACTTTGTCACTCATAAAACGAGCTAAAACACTAACAACAGTTATACAGCTTTCTTTTGTAAAATTTCTTTGCAAAACAAGAATGTTTACATTATAGTACAACATATTTCCTAATTGTTGCCATTTTGAATAGATGGTACTGAAATTGAGAGACTAACATCTGTGTAGGAGTTCATCCAATTCCTTTTCAGTTTTAGATTCAGAATATATTTAAATATGGTAGCAAATTGCTGTCTCATGCAGTATTATGTTTTTAACTTAAGTTTAAAAGTTTTGAAAAGTGTAAGTTAACTTGCAAATTTTCATGTAGGTTCATAGAGTTTTGGTGGTTTGTGTCTGAGTGAGAAATGAATTGATATAATTTGAAAGATGTCATCATTGAAAGTCATCATTCAATGATGTCATTGAATGATGACACAGATGTCATCATTCTTCAATTATTATAATTATTATATTATTGGCTCCTGCCATTAACACCAGTTCTAAACAATCTGTCTTTTAGATTACCTTTAGTCTAATATGGGAGACTTTTATGATTCATATTACATGCAGACAACAAGGTTATTATTAAGTATAACGCCTAAGTGAAAGCCCTTAGGCTATAGCGTAAAGCTTTAGCTCAATAAGATACAACTGTAAAGCACATCAGAAGCTAAGCAAAGTTGATGCAGGCTATTACACGTCATTTTCTGAAAATAGATGGAAAATCTGACATTAACAGACAGCACTCTAAGTATAGTAGTGGCAGCCTGCCATCAAAATATCCTATTTCCTCTCTATCCCAACCTGTCCCCTTCACCCAGACCGACTTTGCATATTTGAAGTAGGCCTATCTTTGAAAAAATATTAGATAACGAGTCTGAATACACTGTAAAATGTGATCAGGCACCCACAGGTTTGCTTTTAGAAATGACCATGTTTGGTCTGTGAACAATATTGCCGATCCACACTAGCCTACATAGTTTTTTAGAATTGCGTACACACTAAAAGTGGTACTTGAGGCCCACAGTGAAACCATTCACTCATCTCTTCAGACAAAGTCTTTAAAACGCGCAAGCACATTTGTAAAACAAACTCTTTTTTTTGCAAAATGCTAAACACAGTTTTCTACATTAGACACACACATAATTCAATAATTAATATCCCATTCCTCCAACGATCATGTGTGAAAATACTTATAAATTGATCACTTATAGAAATCAAACCTCAATGTTTTCAGAAAGAAATAATTTTTTTACCCTCTTCATTTCTGTTTAAAGTGTAAAATTTGATCACTTAGAAATCAAAACTCAATTTGAGGGGGAAAAAATGCACCCTTACATTTCAGTTTATTTGTAAAAATCCTGAATGCACAAGTCAAATAGGCCTTCTATTTCTACAGCACTTTATACAATAGGCCTACAGATTGTTTCAAAGCAGCTTCACAATAGTAACACGTTCAAATTCTGCTATAAAACAGCTCTAATAAGCCAAAAGTGTCACTATTCAGTTCAAGTCACTTCATTAGGCTATATTTTTTCAGTTCAGTTCAATAAAGTGTATCAATTGTGTGTATGTGTGCACATAGGCCTACATGTAGCCTACATGTGACACACTCCCATGCACTCCACTGCACACTGAACAAGCAATGACACAAGATAGTAGTGTTTTACATTTTTTGAATGAAGTGGTTGCTTTTGCAAGAGATGTGTGACGTTTTGCATCTTGTGTGCGTTATTGTGTGTAGAGTTTTGAGAAATGAAGCCATAGTTTCAGAAAAGTGTGTGTAAGCAATAAAACACTGTAACACACACCGCCGCAGTTCCACCTGCTGGTTAGCCTCGGTACTGCACGACATTTCCCGGTGAGAGGAGGACAAACCACCCCACTGAACTCCATCCTCTGGCAAGAGATATGACTCAGCGTTAATGAGCTCAAAATATAACAACAGACCACAAATTAAGTAGTAAGCTTTCTTAAAACTATTTCTCGCATGAATCGTTCTATTTAAATAGCTGTTTGTCTTTTACATCATGGATAGCTTCCGCGGTTTGTTTGATAAACTCGACAGGAATAAAGACGGTTTTATATCTCGTGAGGAGCTGCAGAGTGAAATGCGAAGGATAGGTGTGGAACCAGTGTGTGAAAAGGTTCAAGTAAGATTTTCTACTGATATCAATTGCAGAGATCATGTCAAGGAATCATTCTTTTATGTAGCCTATCTGGAGATACAATTATTTTCTGTGTGAACAAATTAACAGCCTATACAATTCTTTCGTTCAGGCAATCTTGTCAAATTATGACCAAAACGAGGATGGACGTCTTAGCTATCAGGAATTTCTTATTTACATAATGGACAGAGAGAAGAAATGGAAAATAGATTTCCATGCCCTTGACAGAAATAAATGTGGTAAGTTGTCTGTAAATAGCCTATCATTCTTATGTTTTAACTGAAACAGCTTACAGTAGGCCTACTGTTTAGAACTGGCATTTGTGCAGTGGTGTACAATGTTCTCTCAACTACTGTACAAAACAAAGTACCAAAACAGTGTAAATATATATATTTTAAATAATTAATATATTAATCGTATTATTTTTATATAGTCTACTCTATCATAATATATACATTTAAATGATATTCTATTTTTGTATTTTGTATATGATGTAACATGATCTGTGTTGTCTTAGAACTGCACATTTCAATTTGGATATTACTTTGATAGTCACCTCTGGTAACATCATTTTTTTTTTTTTTTTTTACAATCGCTATAGGGCACATTTCTCAATACTTAGGACACTTTTTCAAATCTCTTCACACAGTTCTCCTGACTGTTTTTTATATTGGCACAGCAGTTAATTTCACATTCAAAATGCACTAAATCTATCAAAACACTTCAAATGTCATTCTTCCATAACACTCGCAAAGGTTTTCCCCCAACAAACATTGTCACTCATAAAACAACCTAAAAAAACACACACAACAGGAGTATTATACAATGTTTTCTTTTGTAAAAGATGAATCTTGGCCAAACAGTTAATCTCACCTGCAAAACTCACTCAGACCAACAAAACACTTCATGTAGCCTATGTCTCAAAATAAGCTCGTTCCACCATAACACTGGCGAAAAAAAAAAAGTGGCTGCTTGTTTAAATTGCGTAAAGGGATACTCCACCCAAAAAGGTTTCTTTCTTCTGCTGAACACAAAGGAAGATACTTTGAAGAACGATTGGAACCAAACAGTTGTTTGGCACCATTGACTTCCATAGTAGAAAAAAAAAATACTATGGAAGTCAATGGTGCCAAAGTTCCAATCGTTCTTCAAAATATCTTCCTTTGTGTTCATCAGAAGAAAGAAACTCATACAGGTTTGCAACAACTTGAGGGTGAGTAAATGATGACAGAATTTTGGGTGGAGTATCCCTTTAATAAAAATGGGCTAAAGCAACACAATTGCTGTACATTCTGTCAACTTAATTTGACTGTGTTCAATCTACTTAAATATATGTAAAATTGAAGTTTACTTAATCCGTTTGTTTTGGGATTACATGATTGATTTCTGTTGCATTACAGTAAGTTTAACAGTTTTGAAAAGATTATATAAATGTGCAAAAATGTTGGTGGTATCTATTTGAGTTTAAGTGAGAAAAGAATTAATGTAAATTGAAAGTTAGTGAATGCATTTTGTGGCAAAGCAATGATAATTGATCTACAGTTTAGCTCACATACTGTGTAAGGAGTTTTGACCTAAGGCTATTGAGAAATGTGTATAGCGATTGTAAAAAAACCCTGTAATTAAACATGCATTTTCTGTAAAGCTGCTTTGAAAAAGATATGTATTGTGAAAAGCGCTATACAAATAAATATGACTTTAATTGAAAGTTCTTTCCCTTTGATTAGGGGCAATTGACCTGGAGGATATCATGACTCTGTTTAAGGAATTAGGTTTGGTCATATCAAAACCCAATGCAAAAAGAATCATTCAAATGTAAGAGACCTGATGCTGCTGCCTTCACATTTGCAATATTTTATAATGATATTTGATATTCATTTCTATGCCATTGGTAACAATGCCATAGAAAATAAATGTCACATCAAAATCACTCCATGTTTTTGTATTATGGGGGCAGATACCTTGACATCTACAGGTTTATGTAAATCTTAAATAGACCTTGTGTTCTGATACAGTTTATAATAAATGCATGAAATCAATGAAATGCTTAGGAATATGTATTGCTTGGATTATTATTATTAACATTAAACTCTGATTGTCTTTAGGATGGATGAAGACAACTCTATGACAGTAGACTGGGATGAATTCCTCCAGCATGTCATAATCAACCCAGCAGAAAACATTGGAGAATTAGTATCTTCCTGGAAACATAACCTGGTAAAAACAAAATCAGCTATTTCAAAAATACCTTTAAACTTTAAAATAATAATTGACCCAAAAGGGAAATTATCTCATTATTTGCTCACCCCAATGCTGTGAGATATGACACATTGATTATGCCATTGGAGCCATATTAATTACTTTTATACTTTATGTGCTTTTTGGAGCATCAAACTTTTGGTCACCATTCACTTGCATTGTGTGGACCTTGAGAGCTAAGATATTATTTTAAAAATATTTGTGTTCCGCAGAGAAAATCATACTTTACATAAAGACATGTGAGTAATGACATGAGTAAATGAGGGGGAGACATTTTTTTTTGCACATATGGTACGTTTATTCTGAACTGTTCATCATCAGGTTTATAAAAGGATGTTTACTTTTTAGGTGTTTGATGTAGGAGAGAGTCGCTCTTTGTCTATTGAGTTAACCCAGGACGGGACTGACCTGTCGATCTGGGGGAACTTTATACTGGCCGCAGGCTTGGCAGATGCAGTGTCCAGAACTGTGACAGCACCAATCGACCTGTTAAAGACACGACTTCAGGTATTTTTTTGTCAGTCAAAAACTAATTTTTTTTTTTTTTTACACTTGCTGTTAAATTCACTTAAATGTCTTTGATTTAAAATCCAAAGAAATTAAAGTTTGAGTGTTGTTGTTGTATACAACTTAAGATACACCTTAGAGAAATGATTGCTAAAAATGACTCATTCATATTGGTTTATTTAGCCAGTAAAGAAAGATAATTTACATATACAATTAAAAAACAACAACTAATAAATATTAACATACTCCCCCAATTGATTGATTACATTAAGAATTACAAACATTAAAGGTTTTCTGAAATGTTGTTTAACCCTCTGGGGACCAGAGTGTTTTTGGGGCCCTTGGGATGTTTTGACATGCACTGACATTTGTGCTTTTTTCAGTTATTTATAAACATGTTAATGGCAAAGGTGTAAATTCACTCTATATAGCACAAACTTGGCTACCATGATATCTGAGCAACATGTATGTACATGTTTGTATTTTTAATAGAATAATGTTTATGTGTGGTTATTGAAAAAAATAAAAATGAAAGTTGCTGAAATAAGACCACAAAACACATATTGATTATTTCTTCACAAGACTTTTGAAAATTGTATCACATAGCCTAGAATATTTGATCCAAAACTATGTGAGAATCATCCTGACTACTCATTCAGATAAGTCAATAAAGTATTTTACATTTTTAATGACCTGTTTTGTTTGAGAAAGCTTTATGCAGGAGGCGTGATCTCTCATTAATATGTGTGGCATTCCACACCTGAGAAAGACAAAGACCCTCCCCATAATGGCCCTATTAGGTGCTATCAGGCCATATCATTACAGGAGCCTTGCACAAAGAATGAGGAGATTTAAAAAAGAATGGCTTTTAGATTGTTTGGATTTATATAAGGAAAATACAGGGTGCATACGTCTGGACACTTCTATCACACACCCTTCACCATATAGACATGGTTTTATTTCAGTTCAAAGTTAGAGTTGGAAACATCTTGAAAAGAAAATTGTCTTTCTCCATAAATGTCTTAGTTTGATCATACATATTTCAAAGTTGAGGATTCATTATTTTGATATAGCTTGAACAAACACTATAACATCTTAGTTGATTAGTTTATTGACAAAACATACTATATATTTAACATATGAGCAGAAACTCCTAAAAAAAGCTTATTTGATGTCTATTTTAGAGTAAAAACTTTATCCAAAACGAGTCAACGAAATGTTGTCTGTTATTTAGTCTGTAACAGTGCGTATCTGTGCGTTCATTCATTCATTCATTCACACACAAACATGATTCACATTTTTAAACAGTATGCTATTTTTCCGTTTACAGACACTACGTTATTCTATATCGCGATTAGAACAAAGCACTTGCAAAAAACACTTACTTCTCAGCTGAATCTGTTCATCCTCGCAGTGAAAATAAACCCAGTGGTAAATGTCCCAGGATTGTTCCTCATATAGCCGCGCAAGACGACAGTAGATTAATCTGACTAAAAAATAATGTGTGTTTTCAGAGTTTATGGGCGTTAACGCGTCTCAATGTGTTGCTTCACATATTTGCGTTTGAATAGCGCGTGCTCTCCGTGGGCGTGTCACATTACCAGAGATAATCAGCTCGAGAACGATAATGAGACGGGCTGACACGTCTCTCTTTTTATATAGATGACATAAACGGAGAATATTAATTTTAGTTTCGAATCGGATCATTTAAAAGTACAAACTCAAATGATTTAAAAGATATATTGCTTATGGCTGGGTGAATAGTATTAGCTGAGTTGTGTTAAAGATTAGAGACGTGCTCCAGAAAAAAAGTTCGCAGTGACTGAGAGGCAGAAGGCACACCCTGTTTATTTTCTTTATTTTACAAAAGCACAATATTTTATTTCGATTGTATGTGGGCACATAAAAAAAGTAGACATTTACCAGATTATTTTTTCATATTTCTTAACTCTATATGAACAGAAATGATGGTAGTACTTTAAGTCTATTTTTCTGCTATGTGAAAAAAAACGAGCAAAACGCGCCAGCGCGTTTCTGGTCCCCAGAGGGTTAATTATGCAAATGAGGCATTATCTAATTAAATATTCCCTTCTTTGCGTACATTTCCAGAACAGAAATTTAAACATTGGAAATAAAAAACAGGTTCAAAATTCATGTTTCATTTTGTTGATTTGTTTGTTGAGTTAATGGTTTTTACAGCGGGGATTTTGGATTTCTCTTTTGGATATTCCATAAATTAGAAAATACACTCAACAGCCAGAAAAAAATACAACTTTGGCCAGTCAATCTTTTTGTTCTATATAAGAAACCTATATATTTCTGTCTTGAGCTGGCTTAACTCGACAAGCACGACAAGTTGTCAAAACGATTACATTCACACGGATCTGACTAAGAAACGACTAAAAACGCTATATTCTGCTGCCAGGCCAGTAGGTGGCGATGTCAGTTCGTTATTCGCCTATAGACTGAACAGTAACATATGCGCATGACGTCATCATTTTCACAAATTCATGGTTTTGTAGTTTACACAGAGACAATAACGGTATCGTTTTCAAAAAATTTGCACATTGAAGCCCGTCTTCACTAAAACTGAACTTTACACAATGTTGATGTTGCAAAATTGGTCACTTATTAAATAGTCGATTCAGCCATTAAGCAGCTCTAATGAAGACAGTAGTGTCGTCATCCAGCTCAATTCAGTTCGAGATTTGGTTCTCATCCAAAGGTGCAGTCAAATCAATAATGCAGTATATGATACTGGATATTACTATTTCAGTTAAATTAGGAGTATATACCAAATGTGTTATGTATTTGTAAAACTGAGTGTGTGATCTAACAATAGTACTAACACACTGCAATATACTGGGTAGGTTTTTGGATCCAAAGCTGTGTCTCTGGGACTCCGAGAGCTGCAGACTGGAGGTTTTAGATCCTTGTGGCAAGGAAATGCTGTGAATGTTCTTAAAGGAACGCCTCAATCAACGCTTCAGTGCTTCATCTATGCCCAGGTGAGCACTCAAACATGCACAAGCATTCAGTCACATGTGCACAGATGTTCAAACATTCTTTATGTCACCCTCCCAACAGATGAGGATGAGCACTCTGGGCGAGAGGGACAGTCTGTCGGTCCATCAGAGGTTTGGACTGGGCTGTGTGTCAGGGGCTGTGGCACATGCTGTGTTCTACCCCTTAGAGGTATCACAGTGACACAACAGGTTGGAGCTCCTTACTGTTAGGTGTTGTCTGTCAAATATGTCGTTTTTCAGAGTACAGTACACCTTGCGTAATTTAAAATTTCTTTCTCCCTTCTTTACTTTCCGGCAAAGACAGGCAAAGCTTTTTTTAGTGTTAATACAACAACATTTTTAATTTTTTATCTTTGTATTGTATCATTTTCATGCTCCCAAAAAGAATGATGGCAAATGTAATTTTGTCACACGAACTTGTTGCGTTATATAATGGCTAAATGCATAAATAAATGGCTAAATACTTTTGCCTCAGATTAAAAAAATTAAAATGATAATAATTGTCTGTAATCGTGGCGAGCGACCCAGGGTTATTATAGCTAACTAAAACGAAAACCATTAAAAAAAAATCCTACTTGAAATAAAATGAACGTTAACTAAAATAAAATCATAAAGAACTTTAATTTTATTTCAGCTAGCTTCTCATTTTCATTTAGTTTATCTTGATGTATTAAAACAACTAAAACCAAAGCCAAAATAAAAATGAATAAAAACTATATAGACATATTAAATAATAAAAATGGCAAAAAGAAAACATTATTTAACCAGAAACATTATTTAAGACTTAAGACATACTTTATTAACTAAAATTAAAATTCTATTTAATTCAAAATAAATAAACCTATAGTATCTCAATTATACTAAAATAACACCGATTGTGACATAAGGATTAAAATGAAATTTGGGGTATATAGTTATAACAGTAACACTTTACAATAAGGTTTAATTTGTTAACATTAGTTAATGTATTAACTAACACGAACTAAACAAGTTTACAAAAACACATCTGTTCATTGTTTATTCATGTTACTTCACAGTGCATTAACTAATGTTAACAAATGCAACTTTTGATTTGAATAATGTATTAGTAAATGTTGAAATCAACATTAACTAAGATTAATAAATGCTGTAAAACTATTGTTCATTAGTTCATGTTAACTAATGTAGTTAACTAATGAAACCTTATTGTAAAGTGTCACTGTTATAATTACAAGAAATAAAGTTGCTGTTGCAAGAAATAAAGCCACAATTGCAAAATATTAAGTTACAATATGCCATTTCAACTCACAATTATTAGAAATGTGAGGTAAAGTGACATTGTGAGATATACTGTATAGTCACAATAAGTGAAAAAAAGTGTAACTATGAGAAATAGTCACATTAGTAAGTCGCGACTGTGAATTACAAGAAATAAAGTTGCAATTATGAGAATTCATACATATACAGTACAAGTACTTTCCATATTAGTAATTTTTCATCAACAATACAAAGTGTTTAGTTAACGTTCAGAACCTATTAGAGTAACCCGGTTATCTTCCTTGACTTATACAGTACATATACTGTAAGTTGATTGACGTTTTCTTTCTTTTTTCCAACGGCAGGTGCTGAAAGTGAGACTCAATCTCCAGCCGGCCGGCACCTACAATGGAGTACTGGGATGTGCCAAGCTGATTTACCAGAACGAGTCCGTGGCAGCTTTCTACCGAGGGTTCAAACCCAGCATACTCTGCATGATACCTTATGCTGGAGTGGAATGTGCAGTGCATCAGGTATTCCAGACGAGAGGAGGCATCTGAGTATTCATTTAAGAAGAGACTACACAACTGCTTTTACTTTCAGGCAGTGTGGCTTTATTTTCTTCTCACCAAGTTAAAAGTCATCAGCCATTAACATGAAACCTTTCTCCTCTTGCAGTCAATCATGAGCTGGGCAAGACAGGATCCAGAGCAAGTCAGTGACTCCAAGCTGTTCCTCTTCAGTTTTGCTGCGTTTGCATCGGGACAGGCCACCAGTTACCCACTTGCTGTCATTAGAACACAACAGCAAGCTCAAGGTGAACGTTAAACCCGAACTGATAATATTTACTTTCATCAACCTTTATCAAAACAAAAATCTGGCTATTTATACCTTTCTCATGGAACTTTTTCCGGAAATTAAGTTGGACGTTTGTCTAGCATTTTTTATTTGTTAATGCTTGTTTTAAAAGTAATGTTCCCGTAATGATGAAGAATGATAAAAAAGGAATGCTCCATTAAAGGCGCGCTGAAGTGCCGTGAAACGCGCAGCATTATTCAATGTGTTGATGTCATTTCCACTGAAACAGGAAGACAGGGCGGGACATATTGAACAACCCCTCCACTTTTTAAATAGCCAATAGCGTTCATTCGCCCCAGTGTAAAGCGTATTTACACTGTCTGGATCGTTCCCTATCACCTATATAGTGCACTATATGCCATTCACCATGTAGAAAATAGTAATTTTGTGTGAACAAGTGACAGATTTTAGCGGCGGCTACATTTTATAGTGTAAGGGGCGGGACACTTTAGATTCTAGAGAGATTTGATTGGACAGAAAATCTGATGAGAAGCTGAGGTGAAGAGCGTCATCAAAATCATTGATCCATATTGATGGAAGTGAGAGACTGTTTTTTTTTTTTTTCATGGGAACTTTAACGTTCATAACTATGAAAAAAAGCGTTTTTAAAGCATTTAAACAAACTAAACTGACTAAATGAAACATTCAGAAAAACGTTTTCATAACTTGTGTTATGTTGTGTTAATATGTTCTCTGAACATATAGAGGATATTCATCTCGGACTGTGTGAACGTATCAGTATTTGTCTTGTGAATTTCTTAAGCATTTACTAAATATATATCTGTAATTTATGGAAGCTTGTTTCCGCCACAGAATGAAAAATAAAAAAGGTAATTGCGACTTTTTTTCTCACAATTGCGAGTTTACATCTCGCAATTCTGACTTTATTTCTCAGAATTGCGATATAAAGTCAGAATTGCGAGATATAAAGTCAGAATTGCGTGATATAAAATAGCAATTGCGTGTTATAAAGTCAGAATTGCGAGATATAAAGTCAGAATTGTGTGATATAAAATTGCAATTGCGTGTTATAAAGTCAGAATTGCGAGATATAAAGTCAGAATTGCGAGATATAAAGTCAGAATTGCGTGATATAAAATCGCAATTGCGTGTTATAGTCAGAATTGCGAGATATAAAGTCAGAATTGCGTGTTATAAAGTCAGAATTGCAAGATATAAAGTCAGAATTGCATGATATAAAATCGCAATTGCGTGTTATAGTCAGAATTGCGAGATATAAAGTCAGAATTGCGAGATATAAAGTCAGAATTGCGTGATATAAAATAGCAATTGCGTGTTATAAAGTCAGAATTGCGAGATATAAAGTCAGAATTGTGTGATATAAAATTGCAATTGCGTGTTATAAAGTCAGAATTGCGAGATATAAAGTCAGAATTGCGAGATATAAAGTCAGAATTGCGTGATATAAAATCGCAATTGCGTGTTATAGTCAGAATTGCGAGATATAAAGTCAGAATTGCGAGATATAAAGTCAGAATTGCGAGATATAAAGTCAGAATTGCGTGATATAAAATCGCAATTGCGTGTTATAAAGTCAGAATTGCGAGATATAAAGTCAGAATTGCGAGATATAAAGTCAGAATTGCGAGATATAAAGTCAGAATTGCGTGATATAAAACCGCAATTGCATGTTATAAAGTCAGAATTGCGAGATATAAAGTCAGAATTGCGAGATATAAAGTCAGAATTGAGAGATATAAAGTCAGAATTGCGAGATACAAAGTCAGAATTGTGATATAAAATCGCAATTGCGTGTTATAGTCAGAATTGCGAGATATAAAGTCAGAATTGCGAGATATAAAGTCAGAATTGCGAGATATAAAGTCAGAATTGCGAGATATAAAGTCAGAATTGCGTGATATAAAATCACAATTGCGTGTTATAAAGTCAGAATTGCGAGATATAAAGTCAGAATTGATTGATATAAAGTCGCAATTGCGTGTTATAAAGTCAGAATTGCGAGATATAAAGTCAGAATTGTGTGATATAAAATCGCAATTGCGTGTTATAAAGTCAGAATTGCGAGATATAGTCAGAATTGTGTGATATAAAATCGCAATTGCGTGTTATAAAGTCAGAATTGCGAGATATAGTCAGAATTGCGAGATATAAAGTCAGAATTGATTGATATAAAGTCGCAATTGCGTGTTATAAAGTCAAAATTGCGTGATATAAAGTCGAAATTGCATGCTGTAAAGTCAGAATTGTGAGATATAAACTCGCAATTGCGAGTTATCAGGCCAATTCTAAGGGGAAAAAAGACTAACTTTTTTCCCCTTAGAATTGGCCTGATAACTCGCAATTGCGAGTTTATATCTCACAATTCTGAGAAAAGATGTCAGAATTGCGAGATGTAAACTCACAATTGTGAGAAAAAAGTCAGAATTGTGAGATACAAAGTCACAATTCTGATTTTTTTCTCACAATTGCGACTTTATTTCTCATAATTGCGACTTTATTTCTCATAATTGCGACTTTATATCTCGCAATTGCGACTTTATTTCTCAGAATTGCGACTTTATATCTCGCAATTGCGACTTTATTTCTCACAATTCTGACTTCATATCTCGCAATTGTGAGATAAAAAGTCGCAATTATTTGTATTTATTTTTTTATGCAATGGCGGAAACAAGCTTCCATAGTAATTTGATCACTGTGCTGTTGTCTTTTCTCTCACAACCTCAGCTTTCTGTTCGACCTCGCAGAAGACTGCGGATGCTCTTCAAGGACTCGTCGGCATCTATGAGAAAAATGGAGTCCGAGGTTTTTATAACGGAATGGGTGCTAGCTTTGTGAGAGCTGTTCCCTGTGCTTTGCTGAATTACACCCTGACCTCAAAATTCGAGACATTGCTTTCTTCATTGTCCTAATAATGGTTTTGAGTCAATGTTTTTTTTTATTGTTTTTTATTTATTTGAATTATGTCAGATCACGTACATTCCTGTGTTATGGTGACGACATATGACTATGGTTAGTATATGGTATCAGTTTTTGATATCTGAGCCTTTTAACAAGTACACAAGCACCATATCAGAATTTTGTTCATCCTTGTTGTCATTTGGGTTAATATTTCATAGTCTGCAACCATGTTTTTTTGTCATGAAATGTTAATCATGTTACCAACCTTCCTGACATCAAAAATCATTATTTGCTTGGTGCTTTATGATGTACTTAATCATTATGACACAGGTGATAAAGTGAAAAAGTGTTTTTTTTTCTTTATAATTTTCTGTTATTTTTGCTTGTGGTCTAAGCCCTGGACGTCACTAAAGTATTGAGACACCTCTGCGGAATATGTGCAAATATTAATTTTGCTGTGAGTAAGTTTAACTTGCATTTAGGCTACTGTGCAAACGTTCAAATTGTTGCTTTTCCTTTTTAATCTAATTATGTATAGCCTATATTCACAGTGTTACAACTGTAATAAAAATCTACAATTGGCAGTATTCAAACATCCCAAACAATGTCAATTTTCCATTTTTTTCACAAAGAACCAAACTATACAGTTAATTAACTGAAACGAAAGAGCGATGATGGATGATGGTAGATGGAGTGAGTCTCAATGAGTTTCAATGAGCAAAAAAAAGAAAAAAGAATGAGGACTAGCGAATTTCAAACTTGTAATATAATCACATACTTCTGAAGATTTTTAGAATTATTTTGACAAAAATGAGTCTTTATAGATGAGATATAGGGGAGTCTGGGGCTAGTAGTCACAAGGGCTAGGCTATATAATCTCAGTATGGTTTTAAGACAAAAGTCCAATTACATAAATTCTGGTTATCTTTTTTTTATGTTTGGTACTTTGTCTTAATTTATAGGGCTTTTTTTGTGTGAATTCTGTCCTCAAATTAAAATCAACACAATAAGCACTATAAAACCAGTACATTCAGACGAGAGTCAACTACGAGTTGCGTTAATAACAGTCATACATTTAAAGGGATAGTTCACCCAAAAATTTTAATTCTGTCATTAATTATTCACCCTCATGATCCAAACCTGTAAGACTTTCGTTCATCTTTGGATTAAATTAGGCTAAACCGCTCAATTCATAGTTTTAATATCTCTATGAACTTTCTGAAGTTACAAAGTGGTAGTTGCGTAGCTGTCATTGGAGGGACAGAAAGCTCTCAGATTTCATTAGAAATATCTTCATTTGTGTTCCGAAGATGAACGAAATTTTGTGTTTGGAACGACGTGATGTAAATGATGAAAGAATTTACATTTTTGGGTGAACTATCCCTTTAAGTTTGGGGCAAGTTTAATTGTAATATTATACAAAAACTAGGCCTAAATTAAAAATCACTTTTACATTACTTTCCAAAATCCTTTAAAATAGCGTCATTTGCAGACAGCGAGCAACCACTGGACGGAACAGTGGCTTTATCCACAAATGTAAAACTATGAAAGTGACCCCCATTTTTTCTGTTAAGGTCTATATAAATCCTTGTCTACCTGTAACAAAAAGACTAGGCTACTAAAACTTTGAATGTATGCTCACTTTTTGAGGTTTTTGTATAATCTTTATTTAATATTATGTTTGGTGGGGAGGATTGTTATATTTATCTGATCTGTTTAATCAATATTTCCTAATTTATTTATTTATTATTATTTTGTATTCTGTAAGTACATTTTTAATAATCATAAAAAATGTTTATATTATATATATAAAAAGACGGAATAGTAGCTGGTTGCCATTCCTTACGACGCCACAAGAGGACACCATGCACATTCATCAGCGAAACGAAGCAAACTGTTCTGGTTACGTGGCCATAGTGACGTCGTCGACAGAGTTGACGTTTCACAAACATGGCGTCGCAGCAGAATGAAGTGGATGAGCTGTTCGATGTAAAAAATGCCTTTTACATCGGCAGTTATCAACACTGCATTAACGAAGCCCAAAAAGTAAAGGTGAGTGTCCTGAAAATATTCTTCATGGCACAAAAGCATTCTTACTGAAACGCTTAACGTTATAGATTATACTTGTGTCTGTTAGCATTCGGCTAATTCATTATAGGTTTTCTATATTTTAACAAGACTGTAATTAACAAATGACAACCAACCACGTGTAACTTACATGTTTTATATTTCTTTTAGACACCAGGGCCAGAAAAGGAAGCAGAGAAGAACATTTTCCTGTACAGAGCATATATTGCTCAGGTAAGTTCTGTTTAGCATCAGTCTGTTGTGGTGCTATGTTGGTTTGATGTTGATGAGAATAAACTAATCGAAGTCGAACACCAAGCCATGTGTGTGTGTATGTATGTATGTGTGTATATATGTGTGTCAGTGTGTGTGTATGTTCACATATACTCATGTTTTTGATTTAGTGCTGTTAATTTTGAGTTCTAATTACATGATGATTTCTGTTGTCTTCTCAGAGGAAGTATGGTGTGGTTCTGGATGAAATAAAGCCCAGCGCCTCTGAGGAGATGCAGGCTGTTAGGATGTTTGCCGAGTACCTGTCCGATGTAGGCAAGAGGTATGTGCAGTAAAACTGTCACATTTTTATTTATTGTTTCAAGCTATATATAACTAAAAACCTAGATACATACAGGTTAGCCATTTGGTCTATCAATCAAAGGTATAGCCTAGTTCACCCAAAAATGAAAATTCTATCAATAATTTAGTCACCCTCATGTTGTTCCAAACCCGTAAGCCATTCGTTCATCTTCGGAACACAAATGAAGATTATTTTAATAAAATCTGAGAGCTTTCTGTCCCATGACAACCTATGCAACTACCACTTTCAAGCCCCATAAATGTAGTACAGACATTATTAAAGTAATCCATATGATTAGTGGTTTAACCTCAATTTTATTAAGTGACGCAAGTGCTTGTTTGCGAGAAAACCCCCCCGCCACTTTATTTACTTACCACGATGCATGGCCGTTGTTTTGACGCGAGAGCAGACGTTGCATGTTGCATGTTGTAGGCATGAAGTGAACTATACCATACAATGCTTTTCTCAGGGATGCAATAGTGGCGGAACTGGACAAAAAGATGGCTAAGAGTGTTGATGTTTCCAACACCACCTTCCTGCTGATGGCGGCCTCCATCTATCTGCACGAGATGAACACAGATGCTGCGTTACGTACCCTGCACCAGGGAGAGAGTCTGGAGTGGTGAGGCTGGAGTTCTCATTAATAGTTTATGAGTGGGATTACAATGTATAAGTTGCTCACTGTCAATTTGTATGTCTCTTATAGCATGGCCATGACTGTCCAGGTACTTTTAAAGTTGGACAGAGTTGATATGGCAAGGTATTGTTTGTTTATTCATTCATTTATTTTAGGTTTATATGTGTGTGCGCACGCGTAAATGCTTAGCTATTTGCATGTTTTATAAAAAAAAATGTAACGTAGCATAATCAGAAAGAGCTTTATTTGTAGTAACAGTAATACAGCATTTTCTCCACCATATAATGTTTTAATATTAATCGCATGCCATTTAGCAGCACAAGTCATCCAGCTTTTTATTAATATGATACCGATCAGCCACCGATCTAACGCACGTATTATGTTATAACACACTCAAACTTTTTTTTAGTATCATTGTTTTGACCAAGTAAAACAGCGCTGTGTTACCCCACAACTTTTATTTGTCAAATAAATTGACCTGTACAAGTAGTAATTCAGCAAAACTTTAAAACATAAACATGATTTTGCATTCCATCGACTGCGGAGGTGAAGACGACAACTCCCATGATTCCAAGCTCTTTCACGGTGTCATCAAGCTACGCCTTTGTTATTGTTTCGAATAAGCGACCTCTAGCGGCGAAACTTGCACACTGTGCCTTTAATGCCTTTGAATGTGTTATTTTCATGGATGTGTTGCGTTCACAGAAAGGAGCTAAAGAAGATGCAAGACCAAGATGAAGATGCCACTTTGACTCAGCTTGCTACTGCCTGGGTCAACCTTGCCATGGCGAGTATACAAGTCAATGTGAAATTAAAATAATTTACTTTCTTAACGGGCATTCCTTGGTGCATGTCATCCTAAAGAAAAAAAAAGTTTTATTTGTTCATTATCTTTCATCAAAATGTAATAACTTTCCTCTGAAATAACTTTTCAGGCTATTGGGTAAAGTTAACTAATTGCCAAATTTATATTTTAGCTATTATTTTTGCTAATTTTATGTATCTAATCTCTAAAATCTATGATTTTCTTTATTTTTCCCACCAGATGGTCTTGCATGCATTGGATTTTTAATACGTTTGCTATATTTTTGTGTAAACAAAGTAATATTTTGTGTAGACAAATGCTGCTTAATTTAAAGGTGATCATGGTCTAGTACCATAAAAGATTATGCCTCAAAATATTAAACTATTAAAACAAAATATTGTGCATTAATTTGATTAAAAAAATTATTATTTATTGTCTTCAATCTGTTTTGACTCCTGAGGTTCAATAGCCTTAATCATGAACAAATGCATTCATGTATGCGATCCAAATACACCCATTTACTGTACATTCTTGCATAGACGTATGCATTGTTGTAGCGAGCTGAAACATTTGAGATGATTTTCTTTCAAATCTCTGCATGCCTATTGCCTATTCAGTATTTGCTTGTTTTGCTGAGTGATGTTTTTTCCTTATCGACTGGGAATTAAATGTCTTTCTCCTTCTTCTACCAACAGGGGGGAGAGAAATTGCAGGATGCGTTCTACATCTTCCAGGAAATGTCAGACAAGTACTCGCCCACACTGCTGCTGCTGAACGGTCAGGCTGCCAGTCACATGGCTCAGAATAAGTGGGATGAGGCTGAGTCAGTACTACAGGACGCTCTGGACAAAGTAAGAGCCTGGATTTCAGCACAGCAAATGCCAGGAAGTTTTGTCTCTCTCTGCAAACAAAAGTTTAACTTAGGTCCTGAGAGTCTGCATAGCGA